TGCCCCTTTATTTAATTAAGCTTGCACGCAACCAACACATTTTTACTGTAAACCTTACCCGCGCCGGGGCTATAATCTTTTTTTTTTAACCTTGCCCCCCCCCCCCCCCCCCCCCCCCCCCCCCCTCTCTCTCTCCGTCTGTCCGTCTGCTTGTCTCGTCAGCCTCGGCAGTCAGGCGGCGTATATGATGCTGTGTGTGTCATGCCTTCACGGGATGGGGATGAGGATGAGGATGGGATGGGATGGGATTCCCGACATTCGAACCCTGAAACCGCCTCTCACTCTCACTCTCTCACATAGACATACACACACACTTCCCTCTTCTTTCTTTCTTTCACGGACATCCCGATGAGAAAAGACTGGGGTATGCAGAACGAGGAGATCCGCGCATGTTTGCTGACTACCTTGCCCAACTAACGCAGATCAGATAGCATGTACGGATGAATGAGGTGGGATGGGGGGACTGGTGATGAGGGCAAGATGGCCGCTTTGGGTATAGAGTGTGCTGGCATAACTGCCTATCTGGGTAATTGAATTCCTTGAAGCAGAGGCAGAGTGAGTGAATACTTACCTACCTACCTATCAACTACCTATGTAATAAGCTTACCTCATCTTTCGCGCTTTCAACCTCACATCTCACTAGGTTGAGTCGGGAAATATTAAAGGGAGAATCCGATGAGAAGATGGGATGGGATGGGAATGGATGAGATAGCCCAGCTGAGGGTATGTGTGTATTCAACTCCGAGGCTACGATACCACCTATCTCGTCTTCTGTTCCTCGTTTGAAGAGAGCGGTAGGTGATATTTGCCGCTCCCCTATTCTCGACCTCTTTGACAACCTACTCTGGACTATCGACTCACTTACTCGGCTTACCTAGATCTAGGCTACCCACTTGCTTACTTACTCACACTATTGCACATGCTTCAGGTGAGGTGGATAGGTGGATAGGTGGATGGGATGGATTAGGCCGGTAGATATTGAGAGTGGTGTCCTGTATGTGCTGGGAACCCAGAAACTCCCCCCTTCTCGGGGGGGGGC